CATGCTTGAATTATTTCTTTTAGAATAATTTAACAAGACTGCTTCCTCAGTCTTCGTCACATGCTTCACATCTTCATACTGCTCGCATATTTTCCGAATAGTTTGAAATTTCTGATCGGGACAGAGTAGCAGCTTCTGCTGTAATTCGGGCAGCTGAATGCCAGCAGTGAGTCTATCACGCAACTGGTCTTTCAATTGAGCTAGTCACATTTGGCTGCCTGTGTCTGCAGCTGTAACACGAAATCACGAACCGACTGAGAATGAGAGCGGGCTAACATATTGAACTTAGCTCTTTCGGCTGCTACGAAGTTAATCGGTTTGAAGTGTTGAAGAACTTTGTTTTTCAATGCAGTGTAAGAAATATCAATTGGAGATTCAGGATATACTAAATTCTTGATCAAAGTATACGCCTCCTTGCCAACGAAATGTAGGAAATATGCAGTGAGTTTCTTATCATCCATATCGGATTTTGTGAGGCACCATATGTCGAACCGTTCCAAATAATCCTCTACGTCACGCGCAGTTGAATTAACATCTAATGGTTCCATTTCGGCAGGCATGATGAATCGTTCCAATCGCGACGCCAAAATGTGAGAATTGAGTTTCGTACGTATATCGGTATAACCAGACGAACTAGAAATCCAGAATTCAGCGAAGCGTAACAACCAGCACGTAAGTATTCGAATTGGCGAATATGTACAGCATATGGAATATTAAAACAAAAGAATATTGAATAGAGCAACGAACAGAGTATCAGTCATGTTCATCACAAGCACGTACGCTACAACATGCAACATTTTGGCGTAGAACGTTTTACTTTACTTTTAAATATTTGCAGCTAGAAACATGGTCACCCTAATTATATGGTTGTCACTTTCACTCGAAAGTTCAAATCGTATGGGGTGACACCGTTGCCAACGACATCCGCCAAAGTAACAAATGAGATTCAGTGACCATATAAATGACACCATCGACTGACCTGACCCTCAGAACTTCCCAAGCGGGGAACACCAAAAATGGTTGAAGCCCACTGAACCCCTTTTGATTTCATAGACGGCGTTTCTGAAGGATTGGTAGTGATCATGAGCGAAACAATCACGCAGCTTACGCACCAGACGTGAAAATTTAGATTTGTTCAGCGTCCGCCGATGTTAATCAATACGCCCGCTTGACATTTCAGATGTCAGGAAGTAAACCCCCGCACAGGCAAGGCCGCGCACTGCTGATGGGCTCTAGTAAGATCTAAACTCTGTTTCTGTCTTTGATGGTGGCATATAAGAAGTGTCGTATGGACGTAATCCACTACTCACGAGGTTGCTGAAAACACCTCGGTAGCTCGAGATCGGGTTCACTTCTATCAGTGCTCGAAAAACAAGCGCGCTCCCAGAGATTCCCTCGACAATATGCTAAGCTTGAACATAAAGTTCACAAAGTTAGTGACATTCGCTCACTTGCACACCAATGTTGTTTCCAGGGCAGACCCAACTGAGTATATTACGTATGATGTTCTACAATGGAAACCGATCGTGGGCTGTCCAAGAGTTTCCAGAAACCTCGTAAATAGTGCATTACGCCTACATGGTGCATTGCGATAATTCGAATATCGTATCAACTGAATCATGAGGTAGCCTGGTGCAGCACATTCATTAAAAACATTATAAACGAGAGATTCAGTTTTGTCACCCTGAAAGCCTAATTGGTACACTCTTCTCATCCACAGATTTACATATGATGGGAACTATCGCAAACCTATTAAAAAGTAGGAAAACTGCAAATGTAGCTTTGCACATACAAGCAGATAAGCTGAATGAACTTCTACTTGCCCCTTAATGAGCAATTTCTTTTTGATGAGAGAAAATCGACAAAGGGACGGAGTAGCTGTGGAATCACAACTAGGCCGATTGTTTTCTGATATCTATACGGCCAAACTTGAGAACAGGAAGTTGATGGGTGATATGTCGATACGACAAATATGCTGACAAGTACTCCGGTTTAGGCATCACCTTACCTATAGGAAATTTATAGATTTTAGCACGAAAAGCCAAGTGAATAATCAGGTATCCTTTCCAGACCTGGGTATGATCCGAAGAACCAACGACTCTATTCAAATAAGCTTGAATCACAGGGAA